AATCCCTAGTAGTGCACACTGTCTGTACTGGCCCCAGAGCCCTGGGCATGCTGTGCCAGCCAGGCCACTGAAACTGGGTGCGGTGGTGCATGCCTGTAATCCCAGCGCTAGGGAGGCTGAGACAGGAGGATCACTACGAGTCTGAGCTGCAGAGTGAGACCCTGTATCAAATAAATAAATAAAAGTAAAATAAAAAATAAAAGAAGTGATGGTATGGAGGTGGGAGCTGCCCTACAGACATGTTCACACTTCCCAGAAACGAAAGCGAATAAAAACATTTAAAAATAGAACAAGAGCATTCCTTCCCCCACTTCAACAAAAATTATATAACATATATGATTATGGCTTTATATATAATGTATGTAAAAACTTCATTTGCTAAAAACACCAGAAAGTTTTAAAAGATGGGTGTTGCACTGCCTACACTCATAACCACTCAGGAGGCTGCGACACAAGAGAGTTTGAAGCCAACCTGGGCACAAAGTGAGACTCTTTAAAAGATTAGAAATCTACCAAAGATCAGGAAAACTACAAACGAGGACAAACAGACAAACATTTTCAGTAAGGGTTCTGTGCACTGATTGTGCTTGTACTGAGTTTTCGAGCTCACTCCTACCAGGCAGGAGGGAGAGAGTGAGGAAAATAAAGGCAACAAAACTATTTTACGTTACAGGGAAACGACTGTGAATAGCACGGAAATTAGCAAAGCATCTGTAGCCTGGCGAGGAACTACTAGTGACCCTTCGTCCCCAACCATGTGGGATCCGGGATTGAACTCAGGCCCTTGTGCTCGCCAGGGAAGTGCTTATTCCACCGAGCCATCTCCCCGGCCCCCCACGTGCGATCCTTTGTTAAGCCTTCTCGTCCTGGGCCTGAGAGCTCCGGGAGGACGCGTGGCCCGCTCACCGTCGTCTCGTCACGCAGAGCTCGTCCAGGAGATGCAGCTCTCTGTAGCTCAGCCACCGCTCGTCCGGCAGCTCCTCTTCCTTCTGCAGCAGCTGCTCGTACAGGCGAACTGGATTCCAGCCAGTCATTATGTCATAAGTGATTACACAGCCCAAGGAATGGGACACTATTGAGACTTTACCCCCTTTTTCTTCAAAGTCTGGATTCCGAGAACAGAAAAGGGAATATAATCGATTCAGCTCTTGCTGAAGGCCTTTAACTAGCTGTTTGAAATAAGAAAATATTAGCATATTAGAGTTATCGCTGAGCACTATAAACTTTACTTCTCAACTCAAATGTATTTAAGAAAATGAACATTACTGACCAAATACACTTCTAAGGATTAATTCAGGCATGAAGGCATACAAAGGACTACAATCCACACATCACTCGAGAATATACAGGCAGATAGTACCCACACGTTCCTTTTATACCACTTAAGTCAACTACGTGAGTCCCCAGTTCTAGAGATTAAGGAAAATGTTCCATGCAAAGTTCGGTGACATGTCTAAAGACCTCTGGAAATTTCTTCATTGCAACCTATCCATAGGCAATTCTAAATTTTTGTACCATGTGGTTTTTAATTATAGTAAAATTTATAAAGTATCTGAGTTTATAAGAGGTACACTAGCATCCACATTAACATCTCAGATAGAGTCATGAAAGATAAAACCATTGTATGACTGAAGAAAAAGCTGATGTTGACCTACTACCTCTACTGGGCCCTGGACTGCATTTGAAGATGTCTTTTCTTCCTACTGCTATTTCTAATTGATTATAAATTTTCTGACTCATGACTCAATTTCTCTTATCACCACTTCTTACTATGTCAGCTGCTACTCTGACATACAAAGATTATTCACTGCTTCTGCCTTTGATATTGTAGTTACACCTCAAGAGATGACGAGCCCTCATCTTACTCAGCGTTCTTGACCTGTGGACATAAACTAAACATCGTATGAGCTCTTTATGCGTGGCACAGGGAGAGGTGACATGAAAGAAGACTCGATGCTCTCTGTTTTCTTTTCTTTTCTTTTTGTGGTGTTGGGGATCAAACTTGAAACCTTGCACTTGCCAGGCGGGCACTTGTGCTGCTGAGCTGTCTCTCTAGCTTTGATGCTCTCTGTTGACATCTCAACAGCTCTGTGACTCAAACCCAAGGGCAGGGCAAAGCTACTGAGGCCATGCGCCACACCTGATGTGATATGCTCAGCCGAGGAAGAGAGAGAAGGTGAGCTGGTGACATGTGGCAGGATAGGGTGTCCTTTCTGTATGGAGCATTATGTGATGTTTACTTTAATTGCAATTTGATTTTTTCCCTTCAGAAAAGGAATAAAAGAGTTCCATGCTTCAGTGCAATGTTCTCCAGTTGTCAACACGCGTCACCGGAGGGCCTGCGATAGGCAGTGATTGGGCTCCATTCCAGAGCTCCGCACTCAGAAGCTCTAACCCCGGGCCTGGAAATTTGTATTTACTTTAGTGACAAGTTCCTAGAAAATGCAGATGCTGCTGGCGTGGGGACCACAATTTAGCAGCTACTAATTTATTTATTCATTTATTTTTTTGTGGTACCAGGGATTGAACTCAGGACCCTGCGCTTATTCTACTGAGCTATCTCCCTGGCCCAGCAGCTACTAACTTAGTGGCAAATGCACATAAAAATCTCCCAAGACTTGGGGTAGTTGAAGTATGACACGGAACTACATGGCTGTCCTCAAAGGGAGCTGTAATATAAGGTCTGGGGATGTGACATGCATTAAGAACATCCAAGATCATCCTTATCCTTGTGAAATTTTCTTTTTTTACAATTCATATGAAGGTGGTGCTGAAAATCTTAACAACTTTTATGTAAAATAAACTCATTTAGAAGTGATACGGTATAGTGTGTGTGTTTGTGTGTGTGTGTGTGTGTGTGTGTGTGTGCACGTGCTAGGTAAGAACCCAGGGCCTTGTGCACACTAAGCAAGTGTTTGATCCCTGAGCTACACCCATCAGCCCAAGTTTTACTTTGGAAGGCCTTGCTTCTAAGGTTTGTATTATGTAAATTTAGCACTAATAAGTATATTCTTTAGTGCTCTGGCAAAAGGTACGTAACCTTTATGTTTTTACATACCAACCTCCAAATTAAAATTTAAAAATCAAAAAAGGTAATCATTGTATCAACCTGTTCTGTATTCAGATTGAAAGCATCTGTACTGTACTACATGCTTCATTCGTCTGGCTGTGTGGCATGACCGATAAGGTCAGGAGCTAAGACAGGAGCTGAGACAGTCTGTCCAGCAGTGTAGTACTTCCCCACGAAGCATGCAGTTTCGGAAGAGCTCATGATTTCACCTGCTCTCGTCACACCCTAGAAGTGGCTGCTCTACCTGCTTATCAGAGAGTGTCTGGATGGGGTCGTATTTTGTTACCTTTTCCTGTGGCTTACCAACCGAGAGCATCTGTCTATGACTTTAAAAGCTACATTGGTTTTTCCACATGGCTACGCACACCTCTTAATGCTCCATAACTCGGCCACTGAACAGCAAAAGGACAAATTACTTCTTTTTCTATAAACCCCCCCCCCCCTTTCCTACTCCTTTCCAGTGAGGATCTCAAGTCTACTCATTTGGGACATGTGAGCCACAACTAACGACACACTCTGGGATCTTCCTTAGGTCTGCATTATCTAATCAGACTACTGAATCATTTACCCAGTGGGGATGGAAGAGCTTTGCAAAAATTTAAAAGTTTCTAATTCTCATAACCAGCATGCATGAGCTAAGTTTTATGAAGAAATCAATCAGAGACAAAAATACAAGCATTCAAGAGAAAGCTCAAGCACAAATACTGCTGAGGAATCTAATCTTTTTTCTTTCGCCTTGCTTTCAGGACATTTTAATGACAAAAAATAGTCTGGATATGAGTCAAACAATGACAAGCTAC